CCTTCTGCCCCCGTCATAGTCAGACGACTTTTTCAAACACTGCAGAGTGAAAAAAATTGAAAGTCCTCCATGGTGCAATTTTAGCGTATTCAAAAAACTAATGACTATTCTCGCCGTGGTGAAACGAACCGAGGTGCAAATGGTTGAGACACGTACTGTCCATACCAAAAGGCTAATTACCTCACAATTTGAATTAGGCAAGAGTAAGTTCACTCATCACGCTTAATTTTCTCAGGCGACGGCATCACGCTGCCTTTCGTCAATGAAACTCCGCTAAACGGGCTAGGAGTCGAAGAACAATTAATAACCCGCTATGCTTAATATCCTCTATGCTGAGGTTGCAGCTCTGTATGAAGAGCACCAGTTCGAAACTTGTAAATTAAGCGCCTTTGTTAAAACGATTGCTCTGCTTCATTTTCGAGAAGCAGTTGCTAAAGAACACATTTGTTAACAGATTTGGGTCATGCGAATCTTACGACGGAATGTATTTCCTCTAGAGCATAGCTGGCATTGTAGAAGAACGATTGTATGAACAATTTTTGCATGCACTCCATCATAACTCCTTTGGGAAGTTTGTCTTTAAGTTCATTAGGAATTTCCTTATTCACACTTTTCAGCGCCACCTAAGGCTTAATCCACAACAGTTTAACTCAACTGCATAATCGCATATCTTCGTGACACCATGAACAGCCACTGCTGTGGATTTGTCATAGTTATCGTTACCGGCAGCTGTCCTGAAAGCCAGGTCATGGTTATATCTGAATCGCTAATAATTTTTAACTTTAATGATAATATTTCTACTATACAAGATACAGATCCGTACATCAATAGCTAGCTCAGAATGTTGCATATAAAAATGCCACGTTAAGTATCAACGATAATGTGTATTTAGGTCATCATTTTGAGCCGCCTGCATATGCATAACATCTTTGATTGGTGCTGTATTCATAGTTTAATAATTGAATAACTTACTTTTACTGGAAGAAGAAACTGGCTGCTGCATTTTTGAAGGATATATTTATCTCCAAAAACAAATCTGTTTCAATCCTATTCCTCCACGTTGGATGCTAGCCTCCTTGTTGACTTGTGCCGTGTTTGGGCAACCACACAAGACGCCTATGGCGTGGAATAAATGAGTTTTGCTCAATCAGCTATGTCTAACAGGTCTAACCTACCCTTCTTCATCTTCGCCTAAGTCATTCTGAGAAGCCAAAGGGTCAGGCCTCATTGACCTGGGTACTTGGCCGTTGATTCTGATAATTCAGCTGACGATTACAGCGACAACACCAACAATCTCAGCATCCAACGAGGTTACTTACCGCATGGAAAAGCACAGTCATCACTTTCATGGTCGTGAGTCTTCACCACTGTGCCCCACTAATTGGTACCCTCAACCGTGAATCGACTAATCATCTGCAATTTCAGCAACAGTCCCGGAAACGGAAATATAAAGTGATTTATACAGCTTCTCCCTTCATGGAATTCAACGTGCACCGCATCGTTGCTCATCATGTCGGTGCCTGTTGAGGAGGCAACATGTGCGAATGCCCGGCGAGTGCACTGTCATGTGCTTCTTAACATACATTACAAAATTGTGTTGACTAACCGGAGTGAACACAAGCCTTGTGGAGCCTTAGTCAGCCAGCCAGATTGGAAGTTACAGTTTAGCGAGAAAGTACGAGGATCTGTTTAGCATAATTATTGAAGTTGTGCGCCGGCACGTGCAACGAAAAACTGCCGTAATGAGTTTATTCAACAGTACCTCCTCCGTTGTTGTAGCACAGGTACGGGAAGCGCCATATGTTGCCTAGTCCGACCGAGTATCCGATGCACGACAGCAGGAACTCGAACTTGTTCGCCCATTTGTCTCGAGGTAGACCCTTGTCGAGCATCTTATGGGCGCACAGCTTCGCGGCGTGCGTCGCGTTCGCCGGCTCGTCCTCCATCACAAGTGGCCGTCGACCCAGCAGCGGCTTGTGCCATGCGGCCAGCACCTCTCTGTGCTCG